GGGGGAGGGGAAGGAAAGGAATTAAAATAAAGTCAAATAAAACAAGGGAGGGGAATAACTTAATAAAAATGTTTATTGAAAAACTTCCATTACCAGCTTTTGGCTGCATTAAGTAAGTAAAACACTGAGCGTGACTATTGTCAACAGGATGCAAACAGCTAGTACCATTACCAGGATGATTCGACACCATTTAGAATGCTTGCTTTCTTTCTCTTTCTTTTTTAACAAGGTATCATACCCAGGAGTATAAATATCCCCCATCCAGAACCGTAGATCATTAGGATTTTCCTGAAAAAAAAAAGAAAAGAAAAATAAAATAAAATAAAATAAAATAAAATAAAATAAAAAAGAACTCAGCTCTTCTGCCTTGCATATATAGTCATTAAAACATAGCTAGGAGTATTTTGGCTATCATCAGATAGTGATTAATGAATTTAAAGCATCACAACAGAAATGCAAGAGACTTTCACTTGAACATAGGTTGTGCTACTTGCCAGATGCTGCAAATGTTCCTCTGGGGAAAGCTAAAACCACAGTTTCCAGCCAGGAACCAAATGTAGGACACTAAGCATTGAAATGAGATTTAGAAAAGAAAGAAAAATGAAGAAAAAAAAAGAAAAAAAGAGAGAGAGAGAGAGAGAAAGAAAGAGAGAGAGAGCAAGAAAGCAAGAAAGCAAGGAAGCAAGGAAGCAAGGAAGCAAGGAAGGAAGGAAGGAAGGAAGAAAGGAAAAATGGAAGAAAGAAAGAAAGAAAGAAAGAAAGAAAGAAAGAAAGAAAGAAAGAAAGAAAGAAAGAAAGAAAGGCAACAAAACAAAACCCAAAACAGTAGCAACCAGATTGTATTCTGAAGAATAGATGCTGATTTATAAAGACCTAATCCTTCCTAAGTCTAGTAACAGGGAATAGCAAAAACAAACAAATGGAAAAGCAACTACAAAAAAAAAAATTGTCAAAACCCACATGCAGGTAGGATCCCGCATAGTGTGAATAAGCCTGAAAAAACGTGTGTTATCTGTGATGTTATGAACAGCTACAAAAGTGGACACATAATTCTTAAGTACCTGGTTTACAGATCACCCCTGTATAGACTGGGAAACTGTTGCAGGGTGTTGTGGTTTTAGACTTTCTCATTACAGAGATCATGTTCTGCTGAACTGCAATTGCTGGCATCTAACCAGATACATGGACTTCTTTTTCTGATCAGACTCATGCAAGTGTCATGTCTGCACAGGAAAACATGTCCATATTTGCTTCTGGAATCCTACCAAAAGAACCAAACACGCTGCGCTGTGGCTCATGTTCACACAGAGCTTATAGCAATCCATTCTGTTTGAATGCAGTACAGCAGCACGTTACCTTTATGTGGCTGGCCAAGTCAGAATGCAGTGAATGTCTGTCATAGTCCTGCACTGTCCAGGAAGGGGTCCTTCTCTTCTCCTCCCAGTCATCTTCCACCTGGAAATCGCTATACAAGGGATTGCTCTTGATTGTGGATTTCAGTGTGACGGGTGTAATGTGTTTCCCAAGAGTTTTGTCTATCATTTCTTGGCTGACCCCATTCAGTTCCAACCCAGGCAGCTCAGTAATGTTTTTCTTTTCTCTCTGTAAAGCACAAATTAGAGAAGAATTTGGCTTTCATTTTCATTTATCTATGACACAGGTTCCCTTTCAGAGCTATAATTTGTCAAAAGTCATTATTAAAATTACCTGTGCATCAATTGTTCTGGCAAACATCGTCAATGTACTAAGTCTGACTGTTCACTCTGTGAAGATTTCTTCCTTCTGTGGAAGCACGTGGTTACATGTGAACATTAAAGTTTTCTGCAAATATGAACAGGCACTGTGAGGCCCACTGAAAAGAAAGCTTATATTATAGCAGAATGGTGTTATGGGGTATGACAGTGGAGCATGCAGATCTGACAGATGCCAAGGTAGTGAGATGCAGAAGCACAGCTGCAAGAAGAAAGCAGAGCGAAGCGTGTGGTAGCAGTCTGCCAGCGGCTGTCTTTGCTGAAGCTGCACATCTCACCGTGGGGGGATCTCACAGCTCTGATACCCTCACAGCCTGACAGACCCATCAGCGGCCTGGCATGCAACTAAGGGAAAGTTCCTAACACAGGTTACCACCAGAACACAGGTAATTAGACAGCTGAGCAATCTTCCTGCAGAGCATTGGCTCAAACAGGCCTTTAGGGCAGTGGACGGCAAAGGAGAAGGAGTATTGACTGCATTGGGGTGTGGTTTTTGGAGAATTCACAATGTGCTTCTTAAATCAGCCTAAGCCTCTTCAGCAGCTGGTAAGACCGTAACCATACAACGACCTTCTGTCCCTGAAACTCGGAACCAGCCCATGTCTCCAGCCACACCTCAGCTTCCCAGGAGAGCTGTTTCTCACAGAGCCCTGCCCTCACACCAGCACCTGCCCTGCGCTTCAGGACTGTCTTTATACTTCCATCCCAGCACACACAAAGCTCTTCTGACTAGTAAATGACATTTCCTTTGAGACAAGGGTGGTCTTGGCCTGACTTGGTGCCCTGACAGGCCTGCTGAGAGGAGCACGGGGCTTCTGCATCCTCTTCACACTGGTTTTGGATGCGCACAGATCTTCTACCAGGCAGCACCAGTCCCAAAGCTGACAGCAAGCTGCTTGATTCCTTGAGTGATGTTCTGCTGCTTTGGTGGACCCATTTTCAATTGAAGCCATGCTCTGTGCCTCGTGTCTGCATATATGCAAAGGCCCTGTGAGCCAGTGTGGGGCAGGGAGGCATAGATAAAAGCAAAGGCTGGTTTTGTTTGGAAAGGAAAGAAAAAGGTAAAGAAAGCATCAACCTTTGTCTAAGTAACCCTAGTAGAAATCATCATGCTGGCACTGTTATCACCAAATCATCAAAAGTAACTAAGTGTATTTCCCATCAATAATTATCATTAGTAGGTGGGTGGATCCTCAGTGCCTCCCAGTTCCTCCATTAGTTCATAATTTCCATATGTCATTCCTCAGCCTTGACATGTCCCCTGACAGTATTACTCTATGCAGTGCAGTTACAGCTGGCACTGAAGGCCTCTGAATTGTACTGGCCAGATTTCAGCTGAGCTGGTGTTTTTAACTGTCATTTCTTTCTGATTCCATTTTACTTTATTTAATTTATTTCTTATTTAAAATTTGTCAGTGACCTTAATGATGCTTCCCTCAGGCCCACTAGATGGTTGGACTTGGAGAACATTTTGCTGAAGAACACGAGCCGTCTCACCATGGGATGTTCAGTGTCCTTAGGCTAAAATATTGTGAAAATAATGTAACTTGACAGTGACTTTTAAAGCTGTTTTATATAAAACCCTCCCACACTTGGAAAAGATGGCACAGTGGAGAAGTTTTTCAGAAATCAGTGTCAGAACTTCATGCCCCTTCCTTCCAGAATACCTTCCTTTTTATGGGCAGCAATTGATAAAGACAGGAGAATGTGCTATCCTGAAGTAAAGCTAGGGAAAAAAAATCATGGGAGGAGCAAAAGTGTTTTACCAAGAGAACTGGACTGGAATTTGAATAGGAGATGGTTTGCAGAAGCTTTTGAGAACAGACATTGAAGTTCTACATTAATTGGGAAAATATTTTTGAGTGCAACTGAAGATTTGACAGTGACATTTTTGCTGCAGATATGTCTGCTTATGGAAAGAGAGGAGCTCAAATCATGGACAAAAACTCCATGGACTTTAGGTCCAAGAAACAGCATATGTAAATGTGAAGCAGATTGCATGAAACATATGCATTTACAGAAGCAGATAAATGATTTCATAATGTGAATTACGCATACCAGTAGATGACAACATACGTCACTATAAATTCTAAAGTAATCTATATTGTTAGAAAATATTTCAATTTCATTATTATCTTAACTTTGTCTTTCTGTTGCCACTGCTGTTTTAGCACAGAAATAGTCTAACTTTTCTGTCCTCAGTCTGTGATAAGGGAATATCAAGCACCAAGCTATGACCTGCCAAAACCAAGACATTAAAGTGCTAAGGCTAGGCCTTGGTCCCAGGTCAACCTGTCTGCAAGAAGAAATGAAAGAGACACCTAAAAAATTAAGGAAGTTCACATTATGCAAGTCAAATTTTTTCCTTACTCCCTGCAAAGAGTTATTTATGTCCCATGGCAAGCTGGGCTGCTGGCAGCACTTAGGGCAATACTCAAAGAAAGTAAGGAACACTGCCTACAGGCAGCTGCACCTAGTAGCTTTACTAAAGCAGGTGTTCAGAAATTTTTGGCCACCATTTTCTGCTGGAGCTGTTTTGTAATACTAATGAAAGTGGGTGGCAGGTTATGTAGGTGATTTGTTTGGTATTATAACCCTCTATTGTTCAAAAGGCATGCACTGCTTTCTCTGGAGAGCTCTCCAAGTAACAGGTGGGGCATTACTTTGATATAGAGACATAAGGTATTGCTGACAGGAAGCTGCTAGGTAGCTGCCAGGGACCTAAGGAACTCTGCAATAGTTGTAACAACTGTATAGGTGCTGTATGGTATTTAGTCAACTGAAAAAGCTCATTTATCAGAATAAGCAATAATCGCCTCTGTAGATTTTCTAAGACAAATCTAATGTTTTGGGAGATGTTGTGGAAAAGAAACCAGGAGGGCAATTATTAACCATGTCTAAGTGAGTGGATATGAAAGACAGCAGAGCACATTAAAGGCTGCTGAGAATTCACTTTTTCTTTTCAAGAGACCTGAAGGGGATCAGCTGTGCTTATAGGAGGAACAAGTCAGTGCTAGGTGATGCAAAGCAAGATGGGAGTCCACCTGATGGAGGCTGCAGATCAGTAGGTGGCTGTAAAACCTTAAGGCAAAGTGACAGGACCCAAGAACATTCAGAGAAAAGCAAGCATTCTTAGTGACTATCTTCACTGTGTGGAAAGTACTTCTGCACAGTAATTAACTGTTTACTTAAAGAAAGCTGTTTTATCTGTCATTGCTAATGAAGGTCTGCAGGGCTGTGAGTACAATATATAAAAACTGCTGTATGGTGTCAGATCAGAACTCCTGTCAGCCTTGCAGCTGGTCTCTGACTGCGGACAGTTGCAAATGTCTGGGGAAGAATAAGAGAACACATGTGTAATGCAGGCCTGAGCCAAGGGATAGGAAGCAACTGGCCCAGCACCTAACTGAGAGGTAAAATCTTCCTCCTCAGTGCCCTGAGAGGTGTGCAAGGGCCAGGCACAGGTGTTGCAATCAAATGAGGCACCAGAAGTGCAGTTAGCATGGTAACAGCAATTCTGGAAGGCCAAATTTGTCTGGTTGTGAAATCCTAATAACCACAGCAAAGTGAAGGAACACGGTGTGCAAAGACAAAATTCTCTCTGCTGTCTTCCAAGGAAAAGAACAAAATGCAAGCAGGAAGGAGAAGTCCAAGAACTGCTGAAAACAAGGGAAAAGGCAGAGGGAGATGAGCAAGCCTGGTATCTGGGAGCTGTGCACTGTGCACCGGGAGGTGCTGGGGCAGAGCAGTCTGCAGTGCTGAGAACACACAAAGTGAGCAACAGCTGCTAACATTGGTGAAGAAACAGTCTGTGCTCCTTGTGCTGCTTTGAATCAGGAAGTGCCAGGATTACTGAACCGCTTCATGGCCTTTATTTGAAGTAGACAATGAAAATGTATGCTGAGCAGGGCAGCTGTGTTTGCCTGACACAGAGAAGTAAGGCAAAGAGCAGAAATTTTTGGTCAGAAATATTAATTGCCATTATAATCAGGCTGCTTTCTATAATGGAAATTCATTTTAGAAGCTATAGGTGAAGAAAACATGTAAGTACTGAAATGTGCAGAAAATGAGTGCTATTGTGACAGAGGTTGAAAGGGGTGCAAACTGCCACACAGTCACTGTGCACAGGGATACCTCTGCAGCCCCAGCTCCTTACAGAAAGAAAATGAATTTCTGGGTGGGGAATTTCAGCTGCTCTCAAGGATGCTGGGAGTCTGCAGGTCACTCACATATGTTCTGAAACCAATTTTCCTCCCTCGCCCCCCTCATTTCCGCTTCAGAATTAACTAACCCTTAACCCCATTAGCTTTCTCATCTTAAAGCAAAACATGTTACTCCTGCACCATTAGTTCTCCGCTGTGCCATCGTGTTTATTCTAACGTCTGGAATTCATCAACTCTTTTCCCTTTATTTGTCAGCAAGAGGGAAAGAGAGGAGGCCTCTCTTTCATAAGGGAGGGAGAATGAGGCACAGTGATGTCTGGACAGCTCACAGTCACTAAGAACTGCACTTACAAACATAGGTTATGCCCCACATTTGGGGATTTATAAACCATGCTGTATTATAGGAGCAGTTCCGGTAAGGCAGCAGGCACAGCCATCTCCCCGGCTGTGCCTGCATGGAGCAGGGTGGAGGGAGGCCTTGCTTAGGGCTCCCACTCAGCCCAGTCCTCCTGCAAGCCTGGCCCAGCCTTGAAGCCTTTTGCCCAGCAACAATGGGGAGAAGCGTCCCGCTGCGGCGCAGCTCAGTGTGTGGTTGCCTCATCCTGCACAAAGAGGAGCTGCAGCGGGGCGGGGAGCGAGGCCAGCATTGCTCCATGCCCTATTGTTTTGGATCCCACAGGCTCTTTCTTTTAGTGAGAGCTCTGTGCATGAGAGACAGCAGTGAGTGTGGGACCCCCCCTGCCTGCCTCCTCCCTTCCAGCTCCCCATGGGGAGTCCTGGGCGAGGAACATACAATAGGAGTGGACTCTGGGAGGGAGGGAAGGGGTCTGGACTGCTGATGAGGGAAGAAGTAAAACTGGAAGCAGCGATGGGAGATTTCAAGGCTCTTCCTCTTCCCTTCCTGCCCCCATGTTGATGGTTTTTCAGTTCCCACTCTTCATTGTCATGGGGATCTGGACTCATGCCCCGGGGATGCTCAGGATACAGAACCATCTCCAGCCCCCAACCACCTCCGCGTGTCTCCATCCCCTGACAAGAACCAGACCTTGAAGCTTTTCTCAGGCTAGGGGTGGGGAAAGGCAAGGGGCTCCCCAGGCAGCCGGAAAGGAGTGCTGTGGTGTGAGCTGCAAGTGGGGCCCAGAGGGGTGTGAGCTGATGCAGCTGTACTGCTGCTGATCCAGATACAAATGTCTCCTCTGTGGGCTCCAGGCATCTGTTAGACAGTGCACTTTTGCATTTTTCCATGAAAACACTGCTACCTCCACATAATAACCTGCATTAATGCTGTCATTGCCTTTCACGCCTTCAACAGACATCTGTCAGGGTGACAGCAAGGTCAAAGAGGAAAGACGAAAAACAAGACGAAGTAAAGAAGATACAGCAAAATACACAGACATGCACAAGCTAGCAAGACACTAGAAAGAATCTCTGGTGTTCTCTCTAATGTGCCTTTTATTCCTTTTATTGAGTGTTGTCACCTGGATTTCACATTTAAGTCCAGTGTTGGCTTTTTTTTTTTCCTCCTTTGCTATTCTTTTCCCTTCTTTCTCTAACTTGTAATTTCTTTAGAGAGGGTGTTCTATTAGCCTCCTTAGTACAATTAATCCATATCTGACATAAGTCGGCTTTCTGGGAAGTACTATGAAAATGTCACCACAAGTAATAGAAAACATAATGTACTGAAGCAAATGAGGTGGACTGTGCTGCTGCTGAGGAGAGTGACTGCCCTTCTGGAGCCCAATCCTCACTGAAATCAAAGGGAAAACCCTGGGGGTTATATTAGTGGTGCAGATTCAGGCATGTGGGAAGCTAAATTCACAGTTGAAATGCTGAGCTCTTATCATTTGCCTCCAGATTCCCAGAAGAAGATAGAAAAGTCAGGAAAAGAATCTGCCTCTGTTAGATCTTACCTGTAAATAGATCCTATTGTGCCACTGTTGCACTCCAGGTAAAGCTGCTTCTGGGAACTTTGCCAGTCTGGCCTGTAGAAAGGTTGAGTTTTTCACTAAAGACTTCACCTCCAGCTGTAGGAATTTATCAGGATGGTTGTTGTTTGGCAAAGCAGAGAGGTCCATGTTTCTGTCCTCTGGAGTAATAAAGAAAGCAGTCCAAGCTTCTGCTTCCTGGCTGTGCACACTGCTTAAATCATTAATGATGTGAAGAAGGATACGACAGTCCCCTGAAACTGTATCTGACCTCCTCTTGGTGTCAGGCTCTCTTGTATGATCTACCAATGCTAACAACATTGTTCGGAAGTGGCAGAAAAGACGAGACCTGTTTCTCTATATTCCTAGCTTAAGTCTTCAAATTCAAGGTCTGTTTTAATAGGTACAAAAAAAAAAAAAAGGCAACGTATGGCTCAACCGAGACTTTGGCAGATCTGCATCACAAGGCTATCCTGCCTGAGGCCAGGGAGATGGTGAGAAGGGAAGGTACTGCTGGAGATATGTGCAGGCATGGTGGGCACTGGGCTACACCCCAGCATCCAGCTGGTGTCATGTTTGGCTCCAAAGGAAGGGATTTCGCTCTTTGGACTGGCCTTAGCTCATTAAAGCTAACCAATTATCAGTCAGTAGATGCATGAGACACTTAAATGTGCACCAGCTCTTCTTCAAGTGACCTGCTAAAAATTTCAAGCTTACAGCACTTCAAAGTAAAACCTTTCTCAGAAAATGAGAAGCAGCTCCCAGTACAAAGGCAGTTTTCCTCCTCTTTGGCAGCCCTGAGTGGCTTTGTGGTGCTGTGCAGGTCAGTACCATTCTCCACAGCAGCTATGACACACACTTCTTGCAGGGATTTCTTTGACAGTAAGTTCTTCTTGACTTTGGGAAATGCCCATTTGTTTCACGTAGTTGATAACAGAAGTTCTCAAGTGGTTGACTACTTGACAACTCCTGGTCAAGTGAATGGAAAAACTCTTGCTGACTTGAATGACAGTCTCTTAACTTCCACTGATTCATTTTGAGATTTTGTATTTTCATCAGCAGTTTAGAAGTAGGAAGTTCTTTTGACTTCTGGCTAGTGAAATTCTCCTTCTAGTCATGGTCACTACTTAAAAAAAGCAAAAACAGCCCCTTCATGTTTATTTTAAGCTTTTTAAAAATCTTTTCAAAATTTTGTATTTTTGTAATACATCATTTTTTTTTATTTTTTATTTTTTTTATAATGCCACATAGGATAGGTTTGTAAAAGCACACTGTTTGAAAAACCTATTTTGGTTCAAATTAAGTGCGTGATTAGGGCATAATGAAAATGTCATCCTTGCACTTAGAGCAGAGAATTAATCCATTTTCTTTATGTAAGATTTCTGGTATTTTAAATGAAAATTAAACCACTAGACTACCTTTTTAAGGTACTCATGTGAGGTCCTAATGTAATGAATGACTAATTTGATATACATACGAGTTAAAACCCTTTTTATTCACAGGTAAAGTTTGTGATTTTTCCTTGTGTGTGTGTATTAGCAATTATTAGGCAGCATATCTGGTAAAAAGAAAAAATAATTTGTTGATTTTAAAGTAGGAATGGAGTATTTGTGAGCAGACATAAAAGAGGCAGCAATAGCCATGTTTCCAGGAAGACGCACCTGGGGAAAATGCTGCTTAATTTAGGGTTTCTGCCCCATAATGTAATGAAGCCCTGCAATTCTATATCACACATTCACAGTATACCTGCAGTGACTACCCTGAAGTTACTCTTCTAGACATACAGTGACATATAGTACCCTCTTTCCCTGTGTACAGCTAAGACAGAAATAATAAGTGTTCTGCAATACTTGCATGAATGTACATACTCTTTCCAGTTTATTGCTGCAGCCAGGATTTTTATGTGATACTGTATCATATAGGATATGGAAATGAGTCCTGGACGTGCATCTGTGGGAATTTGCATATAACTACTTCTTTTTAAATGTGATTTAAAAATATAAAAGAGGATTGATTGGGCTGGAGGTTCCCCAAATCCAAGATCTCTCACTGTGTTTCTAAATAAGGAGAGACACTACTTAGGAGCAGTGTTTATTCCTGGCTGCCTCCTGCAGTCCGTTCTCCTTTTAGCCTCCCAGAAAACACAATTATTTTTTGTACTAGGGCGTCTCCTCCGAGGCCTTCTGTTTATAGGCTACCCATCCATTAATGTGTCTAATTTCTTGTCAAGTCTTCTGATACTACCTCTTCTGAAAATAAGATTCTGACCATTTCTGTGAAATGCTGAAGATGTTAAACAAGACCAGACCCAGTACCAACTCCTGAGGAACAGAACTAGACACAGGCCTCCAGCTACACTCTCCATCATTTCCTTCAGCCTCCTCCAGCTTCAGTAGTATTTGTGCTGTAAGCAGTGCACAATGTGTGTATCATCCCTCTGTGTCCCTACTTGTGTCACCAGGTGAACCCACTGACTCTCTAGCTGCCTTCCTATTTTTGATGTATTCCTAGTCTTCTTTACTATAAATTTGAGCATCTTGCCTTTTATGTTGGTTTCCTCATGCATGCAACTATTCTAATATATTTTTAGAATTGAACAAATTATTGGCTATTTGTCACCAATATATTAATAAAAATAAAATAAAAAACAGGATGAAAACTCCCCAACAAAATTAAGCCGAAACTCCAGAAATTAAACCAAGTAAACAAAAACACATCCTACAGAACAAAACAGCAAATATCTTCCAGAATAACCAATAATGTAATTAAAATTCTGGTATTCTTTTTATTTAGGAAAGGTGTAAGAAGCAGTAACTAATGTACCACGGCAAATGAGCATGTAACTGAGACAAAGCATGCCCACTGTGTACCAGCCCTGTGCACCACTTAACCCAACCAACTGGGTGTAGGTGGGATTTCACTAGCCCCTGGCAAACAGGGTGCATTTTCAGCTCTACTTGTCAGATAGCCATGACTGATTGAAATTCACGCATAAGGCTGGAAGAAAAACATATGAGTGGAGAAGGATTGTTGCTGGGGAGAAAAAATAAAAGAAGCTCCAAAAAGTAAGGGGCCTTCCCCTAGTGCAGTAGGCTATTGCTGCCCTGAGCCCTACTGGGAGGACCATTGAAGGTTGCCCAGAGAAACTGTGGATGCCCCATCACTGGAGGTATTCAAGGCTGGGTTGGATGGGGTCCTGGGCAGCCTGAGCTGGTGGCAGCCCTGGCATGGGATTTGAACTGTGTGGGCTTTACAGTTCCCTCCAACCTAAGCCACTCAGTGATTCTATGACTTTATGATAAGGACCTAGCTGTTCTCATCTGGACCTGTGGCATCACCTGGACTGTGGCAAGGCTCTGCAACATAGGCAAACACACTGAGCCTTCACACAGCGTGGACCTGTGAGTCTATGCTGCTTCTCAGAATGATAACTGTGTGTATGAAAGAAGCAAAAAGAAAATTAACTTGTTTTCAAATTCCAAGAGAGTAGGAAACAACAAATATTTTTTGCTATGTAAACACAGAATTTCTTCAACATGATTCACACACATCTAATTAATAGTCCTGTATTACAAGTGCTGAAGAAGAGCCAGAGCCATCAGGATTGTAACACTGACTTCACTCGTTACATTTAAAAGGAATGTCATTCAGCTGAGCAACTTTCCATCCCTGGTTCCAATCTAGAGGTCTTTTTCTTTTATGGTGCTGCGAAAGAGCAACAGGAGGACAATTTATGCATCATTCAATTGTCCCTTTTTGGCAGGCGTAGGCAGAGTACTTTCATATTTTGAGATAGGTTGTCATTCTTATTAGTGAAATACTCCAAAAAAAGCTGAGTGTAAACATGTGTGATTGTGTGAATGATACAATTGGCTGAAAAAAGAATGCCTCTGGCCTCTAGTCTGGAGGCATCTTTCTCTTTGGTTTTTAGTTGTGGTTGCAATCTGAGCTTGTAACCCAGAACTGGGTATTCAGTACACTGGAAGCAAACAATGTTTCGAGGTTTTTTTTGCCTACCAACTTCAATAATTCTGTTAATTGAATTTTAAATTTGCGTTGGGGACACTGAGTAGTTAACATCCAACGGCAACTGAACTGTCTGTACATTATAACGCACCGTGTCTATTTAATTACACAACACATAATTTCACATAATTCCATGACATCAAAGTAATTTTTCACTGCTTTTTCACTTCTCAAAAACCAAAAATGTATGATTCAAACATTATACAATTACTTTAATATAACACACAATAGTTTCCAAAGAGAGGTCCGATGCTCAGTGAAGCCTACTGCAAAGCTACAGTTAATTCAGTGCAGGGCCATAGTTCCCCTTCCTGCAGTCTCTAAGGAGACTGAAATTGTTATAGGAATTACTAACTATATCTTGTGACTCCTTTCAGACTCATTTCTCCAGCTGTCTTGCCTTCAGAGTTTGCTCTCCTGGGTGTTTTCCGAGCAAGGCTAATGGTTTGCACTGCAAAACAGAGGCAGAGAACCTACCTCACAGTTGTTACAGAACTCACCTGAGATACCTAAGTTCTTCACTGAATATCCCTCTGCTAGATTCAGCTCTTCATGCATCAGGATCATGGAGCAGCACATCTGCCTGTAGCCGCAGAACAGTGCCTAAGTCATGAGAATATAGGCATGTGCTGCAGAGATTACTGCAGCTGTACCTGCTGCTATGCAGGGCTCAACGGATTCTGCAACCAGACACAGATGGCAAAAGCCACAAAAATGCAAATAACAAAAGAAGCTTCACTTTTTATTGAAAATGTAAAAGTCATGTGAATCATGTACAATATTTTCTCATAAGGAAAATTTTAGCTGTTTCATAACGTTTCACAAAACTGTAAAACATTTTATTTTTATAAAGACTTTTTCATAAAACAAAGATAAACTAAAGTAAAATTACAAAGCTATTTCCTAAATTATTGACAAAGAACTGAAAATGTTTAACAGATCAATTCATAAAAATGGCAGGAGGAAGGACTTCCATTTGTAAATCTGCAAGAAGACGCACAAAGGTATAGGGGGGCGTGGGTTTTTTGTTCCTAAACGTTCAAAATCAAGTGACATGCTAAACAGTACAGACGTGGATTCATAGGATGGTACAATTTCTAGGACTGCATTTCTCTACACTACCTCAAACAGTGCAACAGTGATTCAGTGTAAATCTCTACAGTGTTTCATTGATTCAATACTTGTGTTCAAGTACATGTCCATGAGAATGATCAAAATTCCTATTTCTCTATTTTAATTTTCTTGTTTACAATAGGTATAAGTTACAGTAGATTATCCCCAACAGCATGATTCTAAATCAAATCAAATGAACTGATTTCACAATACATTCTGTAATAACCTGCTCAATAACATCAGCTTACTCACCTCAACATCTGTTGCAAAATACACAAGATCATTCTGCCAAAAATATAATAAAATTAAAAAAGGCTTTATTTCCATATACAACAAAACTATTCAGCTAAATTAAAATAAATTCAAGATAATATGGTGGCTTCTTTTGGCAACAGAGAGATGACCCTACTGAAAATAAACATTTAAAATACTAGTTACTATTCTTTAAAAAATTCTGATAAATGTATCCCAAATTGTTCATATAAAAATTAATTATGAAAACCTCAGAGGATAAAACAAGTTGACTGTCTAACCAAAACAATTAAGGATGTCTGGCAGGCAAAAATAAATTAAATTTGATTAAATTATATGTAATCATAGTATTTGGTCTGAAAAAGCGTGCATGTGTGTGTATGTGTATGCGTGTGTGTGTGTACATCTATGTGTGCTTATAAATAATAAGATTGCAAAGAGCTGAGAGCCAGCCAGCCTGACAGAGGTCAACTCCTTTGTTGCATCTTCTGCGCATAGAAGTCCCTGCACGTCTCACAGCAGCGCTGGTACCACCTCATGTCTTGACACAGGTTCTTCTCTCGTATCACTCTGCAGTACACAGGCCACTGGTCACCCAAGCACTTGAATGTTAAAGCAGCTGTGAAGCAACAAAAAATACAGGTAACTGTTACATTTCTTGTGAAGAATTGGGTAACAAAGATGACCAGGACACCAGAGTGTATCCATGGGTGGCACAGGAGGACAGATTTAGTTTTTCAGAAAAGAATGACCACGAATCCTCT